GGGGAGGCGGGGGCCTTGTTTATTTTACCCACCAGTGTCCCCAATACCTGGTCTGTACTAGGTGCTCAACAAATATTTGTTAACTCAGTGGTGTTTCTTCCCATAGCAGGGGAAGAAACACAAAACAGTAGCAGCACCCTCCCTTCCTAGCGTCTGATGTCTTAGCAATACCAGCTCATGTGCACGCAGGCTGGCTCCTCACAACATCACTCAAGCAGAGAACAGAAAGCACCTACCCAGCCAGGGCAGGGATGGATGAGCTGGGGTGGCAAACTCTAATGCCTCCAGGGTAGGCAGATGAATTCGACTGGAGAGCAGGGCCAGGACGAGGCTACTGCACGCCACTGCCAGGGCCGCTCCCCAGGGGGAGCCAGAGAACTGAGCTTTGCAAAGAAGCAGAACCTTCTGATGATTTTTAACGTTAGAATCTAAGAAATGTTGACGTACTTTGCAGGTCAGCGCTGGCCCATGGATCACCCGTCCACAACCGTCATGAAATAAATGATATGCTTGTGCTCTGGTTCAGGTGACAGAAAAATGAGGGTCTGCAGAGGCAGAGATGGCCCACAGAGGATAAAGCAAAAGGCTGAAGGCTGTGTGCAGAAGGATACCATTTAACATTGTCTTAAGCTCTAAGACAATGGTATACACATGCATATGGATATGTGTGTGTGTTTGAATCCATCCAGTGGCACCTCAGAAGAATGGTCTGGTAATCTGTTAGGAAAAAAATCAGCCATTGGAAACCTTGTGGATTAAAGTCTACTGGGACATACATGGGTCACCATGAGTTGAAGTGAATTCAAGGGCAGTTAGATTTTTCAGTATTACGAGTGGTTAGGAAAAAACCAAGTGCCTGTAACAGTGTGTGGCATGCTTTTTTTTTTCAGGGTGGGGAGGGGAGGAAAGAAATAAGAATATTGTCATATCCATTTGCATTTGTATAAAGGAACTCTGGAAGGATCCACATGAAATGAATAAATTGTGGGGGTGGGAACTGGCCAGAAAGGGGGGGAGGGTGACGAAAAAGAGAGGGAGATTTTCCACTGTTACTATTTTTATTCTTTCAGTGTTTGAACCAGCCCTAGTGTAACAACTCATGCTGTGAGTCAGAACAGCCAGCCCCTGTGACTGGTAACGCAGCCAGTTCAAATCCCAGACCTTCCATGCTCTAGGACTCCTGTCAAGACCCTGTCCAATTCTGAGCCTCCTCATCTCTAAAACCAAGGTGCTAGGCTTAGGTATTTTGACATTTTTCCTTGGAACCCCCTCCAGATCCCTGGAGAATCTGAGAATCTGGGGGTACATCCAGTGAGGTCCCCTGTGGGGACATGTCTTCAAAGTCTTGTGTTTTACTTTGGAATTCATTAAATCTGTGCACTATTGTTGTTGTTAGGTACCACGAGTGACTCATAGTGTTTCTGTGGCTCTAAATGTTTAGGGATCAGAAAGCCTCTTTCTCCTGAGGAGCAGCTTGTGGGTTTCAACTGCCAACATAATGATTAGCAGTCCAGTGTTTATCCTATAGCTCCACAAACACCCCTGCAGACTTTTGCATTAGATCCTGTGATCCTTTAAGAGAATGCCTTTCTCCAATAAAGCAGCATTCAATTAAGACACAAGGAGCTATGATAGCGTAGTGGTTACGAGTCAGGCTGCTAGCCTCAAGGTCAGCAGTTCGAAATTACCAACCAATCCATGGGAGAAAGATAAGGCTTTCTGCTGCCATAAAGATTTACAGCCTTGGAAACCCTATGCAGGGTTGCTAAGAGTCAGAACTGACTCCACAACACACCACCACCACCAAGTAAGACACACACACTCCAAAGCTAGTAAAATAAATTTCCCAGAAGGAAGCTTATCTTAGGGTGCTACATAATTATCCAACACCCCAATACCCTCTTGATGTCGAAGGGTCCCCAGAGGGTTAACTTTCATTTAAACTATGTTTATATTTGAAGAAGTGGAGGAGCAGGCGTACATGCGCATGACAAAAAAATTAAAACACTAGAAAGTGAACTATTTATATGGGATCAAATTGACCTCTGCAACTCTAAAGGTTAGCAATGCTTACTGGGCAGTGAGTTTATGTGAGTCAGGGAGGGACAACTCGGGAGAAGAGGTGAGATGAGAACACAATTTGAAGACTAGGATTGGTATCACTGGATTGTGCATGTAGAGACCGTTGCACCAACGTGTGTTCTGCTGAGTATACTCTCAGCTATAGTCATAAATTATTAAGGAAGGAAAAAGTAAAAAACTCAATGGGTATACTGCAAAAAGTCCCATCTCAACCTTCCTAGAGACAAAGAGAACAAGATATACATGTCCCACATTAAAAAAAACTCCACCAATAATAACATATTATACCAACTGGTCCGCACCTGGCTTTTTTTTTTTCTTAATGGTGGATTTCATCTTATAGTACATCCCGTTTTATTTTACAGTTGCTATGGTTTCCTTTATATGAATGCATAATTTATTTAATCAGCTCCTATGGTAGACATTTGGAGTCCTGGTATAGCGCTACAGGATAGCGCACAAGACCACAAGGTCGGTTTGAACTGCAAAATCGGCCATTCAAACTCACCAACCACTACTTGGAAACCCTACACGGGGTCGCTACGAGTTGGAACCAACTCAAGGGCATTTAACAACACAATATGGTACATATTTAAGCTGCTTCTGGTATTTGCTATTTTCATCAATGTGACAATGAACATCTTCCCGTTATGGACATGTGTGAGCACTTCTGTAGAATAAAGTTTAGAAGTGGAAGTATAGGATTAAATAGATGTGTGTTACAACTAGATCTTCAAGTCCCTTTACCCACTCCTCCAGGACCAAGTTTCTGATAAGAAATCTTCCTCAATAGTGCCACCTGCTGCCCATTCTATGAAAAGCAGCCTTCTTATATCCAGCCCAGGGCTGCTTCCTTCTTAATCCTTGGCTGCAACTACCCAGACTCCCCCGGGGCATTGATATGAGGGACCAGACAATGGAGAAACTCAATCCTTCTTGCCGAAGCAATCGGTGCAGGGATGTTTATTGACCGCCTACTATACTGTTCCGAGGGAGAAAGATGAGGCTTTCTGCTCCCGTAAAGATTTACATCCTCAGAAACCCTGTATAGGGTCGCTATGAATCGGAACTGACTCCATGGCACATAACAACAACAACAACCGCCTACCAGCTTTGTGTCTACAAATAACTTCATCTTCCAGAGACTGTTTCTTCATCTGCAAAATGGGGATAATAATACCACCCTTCCAGCACAGATGGCAGGATTCAGTACAATAATAAGATGATTTGTTGTTATTGGCTGCCATCGATTTGGCAACCCCACACACAATAGGCCTCGTCCCGTGTTGTCCCCATGACCCATGATCTGTAGGGTTTTCACCGAATGATTTTCGGAAGTCGATCACCAGGCCTTTATTCCTACCCCATTTTAGTCTGGAAGCTCCATGGAAACCTGCCTCCAATGACAGACAGGTGGAGGCAATGCGTGGAAATCAAACCCAGGTCTCCCATGTGGAAGCTGAGAATTCTACCATTGAACCAACATGCCCTCAAAAGATGATAAGGAGCTCTTCCTGTAAGCGGCCTGAGGTAATCTCACAAAATAGTTCGCTACTCATTTGACCCAGAAACCCCCACAAAATCATGCAAATCCAGAGGTTCAAATCTCCGGGTCCATTTTAAGAACACCCGTGAGACTGCCCAGGCCATCAAGGGTATGCATATCCGGAAAGCCACCAAGTATCTAAAAGATGTCACTTTGCAGAAGCAATGTGTACCATTCCGACGTTACAATGGTGGCATTGGTAGGTGTGCCCAGGCCAAACAGTGGAGTTGGACACAGGGTCGGCGGCCCAAAAAGAGCGCTGAATTTTTGCTGCACATGCTTAAAAATGCAGAGAGCAATGCTGAACTTAAGGGTTTAGATGTGGATTCTCTGGTCATTGAGCATACCCAGGTCAACAAAGCTCCCAAGATGCGCCGCCGAACTTACAGAGCTCATGGTCGGATCAACCCCTACATGAGCTCCTCCTGCCATATTGAGATGATCCTCACTGAAAAGGAACAAATTGTTCCTAAACCAGAAGAGGACGTTGCCCAGAAGAAAAAGATATCTCAGAAGAAACTGAAGAAACAAAAACTATGGCTTGGGAGTAAATTAAACTTAAAATAAAATGCACATAAAAGTAAAAAAATGATGATAAGGAACACGAATAAGCAATTCACAGACAGGAAATGCAAAGATCTGATGGGACCCAAGAGATGTCTTAGCACAGCCATCAGGGAAGAACTGTTCTACAGCCGAACGCCCTTCCCACCTTCCCATCAGATTGGCCAAGATTTTGAAGATTAATAACCACATGCTGACAAGGTTGTGGGGAAATGTTAATGAAAACAATGAGTTACCCACCTCTGCCCATCAGATTGGCAAACAAGTGGGAAGATTACTAACATCTGGTAGGAAATGAACAGATTCCGGCTTTATGGTTATGTTGGTCAGGAATCAAACCCAGGTCTCCTTCATAGAAGGCAAGAATTCTACCATGGAAACATCACTGGCCCCATGTAAAGTATACCTTCTTTTTCCCTGAGTGAAAAAAGTAAGACAATAAACACACACACACACAAACATACGTGTGTGTATAGATGTTTGTTTAGAGAAAGCTTTGCCAAAATATACTGTTGGTGTGTATTGTGAAGTGGGTTCCAGCTCAGAGTGACCCTGTACAGGGTTTCCAAGACTGGCTTGTGGGTTTGAACTGCCAGCCTTGTGGTTATCATTCCAGTGCTTATCCCATAGTGCCACACCAGGACCTCACCAGATTATACTCCAAGTTTATAATTGTAGTTACCTCTGTGGAGAAATGAGGAGGTTTAGGAGGGAGGCTAGCACTGTACATAGACCAACAGAACAATGGAACACTGAATGGTTTAAAATCAGGAAAGGTGTGTGTCAGAATTGTATTCTTTCACCATACTTATTCAACCTGCGGCACTTAACAACAACAACAACAATGCTGAGCAAATAATCCGAAATACTGGATTATATGAAAAAGAACAAAGCATCAAGATTGGAAGATGACTCATTAACAACATGTGATATGCCAATGATACAACCTTGCTTGTTGAAAGTAAAGAGGACTTGAAATGCTTACTGGTAAAGATCAAAGACCACAACCTTTGGTATGGGTTGCATCTCAATATAAATCAAACAAAAATCCTCACCACTGGACCAATAAACAACATCCATATAAATGGAGAAAAGATTGAAGTTGTCAAAGATTTCATTTTGTTCAGATCAACCATCAGCATGCAGCAGTCAAGAAACGAAACAACGCATTGCATCAGGCAAATCTGTTGCACAAAACCTCTTAAAAGTGTTTAAGAGCAAAGGTGTCAGTCTGAGGACTAAGGTGTGCCTGACCCAAACCATGGTATTTTCACATATGCATGTGAAAGATGGGCAGTGAATAAGGAAGACAACTTATTAACAACCTGCAATATGCAGATGATACAACCTTGCTTGCTGAAAGCAAAGAGGACTTAAAATACTTACTGATGAAGATCAAAGAACTAATGCATTTGAGTTATGGTTTTAAAGGAGAATATTAAAAGTACCACGGACTGCCAGCAGAAATCTGTGTTGGAAAAAGTATAACTAGTATGTTCCTGGGAAGCCAGGATGCCCAGACTTTGTCTCTCATACTTCAGACATATTATCAGGAGGGACCAGTCCCTGGAGAAGGACATTAAAGTGGAGGATCCGGTGAAAAAGAGGTAGACCCCAAGGAGATGGATTGGCACAGTGGCAGCAGCAATGGGCTCAAGCGTAAGGATTGTGTGGACAGTGCAGGACCAGGCAGTGTTTGGTTCTCTTGTGCATAAGGTCACTATGAGTCGGTACTGACTCGATGGCACTTAATAACAACAGACCCTGCAAAAGAATTTTATAATTCTCATGACATTATTCTAAATGATTTTCTTTTTAAATAATGAGCGTAAGCTATTTGTAAAAACCTTTTAAAACAACTAAAATATCAAAACAAGAAAAGGAACACACAGAGATTCCCAGGCAGATGGACTGAGCCAGAATTTCCAAGGCCTCCCTTTCTGGTATGTGCCCATGTGCCTCCAGTGAGGGACTACACCTTCCTATGTTACCCCTAGATCTTCCCATTCCCCTGCCACCCCCCACTGCCCTCATGATGCTCACCCACTGAAAGGGACCCTCGTGCCAGTTTAGGGAGCAGCAGGTCAAGCTGGCGGAAGGTGCGGAAGACGTCAGCAGAGTGGGCGCGGTCCTGGGCCTGGCTCTGGTGAGTACGTGGTACTGTCTCAACTCCGTACTGGGTCAGGTAGCCAGCTCTGGGGGCAGCAAGAGATGGGTGGGTGGATACTCCTGGCCAAATTTTTCTTCATTCCTGCACCTCACATTTAATGAGCACCTACTGTATGCCAACACCCTGGGGGTATAGTGGTTACATCCTCAATTGCTAACTGAAAGATTGACAGTTTGAACCCACCAGCTGCTCTAACTGGAAACAGAGTGGCAGCTTACTTCTGTGAAGAGTTACAGTCCTGGAAAACTCACAGCGGAGTTCTAGTCTGTCCTTTAGGGTTGGTAGGAGTCATAACTGACTTGTCAGTAGAGGGTTTACCATGTTCCAGGTAATCAACCAGTCTTGGCTTCCATACTCCCAGGGATGGGGAGCTCACTACTTGTACACCACATTAAGAGGAGGCAACACTTCTTCAGAGCAGTCTAACGCTTTTAGGAGTCTAACTACGGGTCTTACTAGAGCCTCTACATCAGGTATGCTCTGGGTATAGGGGAGACAGCGGTGAATAAAACAAACAGAACCCCTGCTCTCACGGAGTTGGCGCTCCAGTGCCATGAGACAGACAGTAGAGAAGTGAGTAGAACGTGGAAAACGTCAGATGGTGCTCAGCATCATGGAGAGACATAATGCTGGGAAGCAGATGGGGGTGGGGTGCTCACATTGAAGAAGAAACCTAAAGGATGAGGAACAAATCTGGGAGGAGCAGAGGGAGGAGACAAGGCTGAGAGAAGAGCAAGTGCAAACAGCCTGTCAGGGGACAGAAATGTAGTGGGGAGAGAGCTGCCGGGGTTGTCCACCAGGGGGCAGAGCTGGCTGGTGCAGGAGCAGAGCTTGCGGGTCTGGGGGTTGGCAGCGCCAGTCACACACAGCAGGGAGGCTGGCTGCCGCAGAAATCTGGGAGGTCTGAGCAGGAGGGACAGGTGTGGTCAAGTCTGGAGAAGGGAGGAGGCACGGGAGCCCGTCTGTGCCCTGGGTCAGACGCACACACCCAGACAGTCACACACACTCAGACCCAGACACACCCACTCACACTCACACACATCACACACACCGCCTCCTCCCTCAGGAATGCTCTCAGCCCAGCTTCCTCTGCTCCCGGAGTGCTGCCCAGCAGGCTCACTGGCTGCAGTCGGGATAGGAAAGTGGCAGGTTTTCACTTTTTCCATGTAGAGGGAGGGGCTGAGCTTCTCACAACACCCTTAAGTCCCTACAACACACACACACACACACACACACACACACACACACACGCCCTCCCAGTGCCTGGATCTCCCAAGAGAGGATTCTCTCTCAGTAGGAATGAGGGGGTAAAGAGGCCTGTGTGGGTCCTGCCTGGTCCCCACTCTCTCTTTAGTAAATATTCAGTGAGTGGATGGGTAAGTAGTTAGAACTTGGGTCTGAGGACACTGAGTCATTATGAATTCAACATGATACTAGCTTCAGAGTCATCCAAGCTGCTGTCCTGCCATCACCTTGAATGCCACTCATCTCCCTGCCAACCAACCTTGGCTTCCATACTCCCAGGGACAGGGAGCTCACTACCTGTCCATCACGTTAAGAGAAGGCACTCCATTCTCAGAACGGCCCAACACTGAATCTGATCACTGCCCCTATGAGAACCTCTACGTCAACCCAGAATTCCTTCTGTCTCTTCCAAGGTGGGCCCCTTTTCTTTACGGCAGAAGTTGTGAAGGGGTAGCCCACAAACTGGATGCAGCCTCAGAATGTGTTTTGTTTGGCCAGTAGAGTTTTTCTAAAAACAAATTGAGTCCACATTTTAAAACTTGAGAAAATTCACTAAAAAATCTGTTTTTTCTGCCCCTCTCATCCTGGGGAAGGAGAGTATCTAGGCTGGGTCATGGCCTCCTTCTAGACGGACAGGAGCCGGCCAGTCCCTGGGGCTGCTGCAACGCTGCAGTTAGACACACTGCATCTATCAAGCACTTGCACTGTGGTTTCTCCTAAAGCTGAGAAACTTTGTCCTGTACAAATATTTCTACCAAAAATAGGCAAAGAAAACAAGGCAAGAAGGACACGAGGCTTCATGATGTGGAAGTGGAGGCCCTCCTACAATACATCTAAATCAAAATAATAGGGCTAAATTTAAAACACCAGGCTTACTGGTCAGATAGAGACCGGTGGAACCCCGAGACTGTGCCCCCGTAGTCACCCTCCAAGCCTGGAGGTGAGCTCACCCCCACAGCTGAATGTGTAGCCAAACAACAGGTACGTCTGTAAGGTGAACAATAGCACCAGAGAGCAGCGCACTCCTTAGCAAGTTAACTAGATGAGGACCTGAGGGCAGCATCCAACCAGGGATAAAGTTCAGGAGGCAGGAAGGGAGAGAAAAGAAGGACGAATGGGTATGGTGAACACAGGGAAGAGGAGGGAAGAATAGTGTTTCAAAGCAGGGATTCCAGTCAATGCCATAAAACAAAATATATATGAATTGTCAAAGGGGAAACCAATTTGCTCTGTAAACTTCCACTCAAATCATAATAAAAAGTAAAATAGGAATAGTAGGATGTCTGAAGGCAGCCAATAAATGTTGGCTCCACCAGGCTGTTGACTGTTGCTGTTAACTAGAGAACAGAGTAGACTAGTCATCAGGTCTTTATGGGAGCAGATCTCCAGCTTCTTCTATCGTAGAACTGCAGGTGAGTTCAGACCACTACCCTTTCAGTTAGCAGCCAAGTTCTTAACCATTCACCACCAGGGCTCCTCCTTTGATAACTACGTATTGCGTTAAGTGCTATAAAGAAAAAAGCAAGGGCTGGCTATTGAAGGTGGTGTAACGGAGGGCCTCTCAAGGAGTGAAGCTTGAGAGGAGGCATGAATGGAGGGAGACAAGAGCCAAGGAGTCCTATGGGGGAAATTGCAGTAACTGCAAAGGCAGGAGCCACGTGGTGGGTTCAGGGACCTGCCGGCTGGTGTGATGGGAGGGGATAGAGCAGGGATCTGAGCTTTGGATGTGACTCTGAGCGAGACAAAGACAACACAGAACAGGTATGAAGGTGTAAAGAAAGACCATGAGCCAGCACCTCTGTATCTGTGTCCCTGAATTCCAGTGTGCCACCCTAACTAAGCCCATCCCCTTCCTTTTTCAGGGACTGCAGAGAGCGATGAAAACCCCAGCCCAGGCCTCAGCCCCGGATTCCCAGGTCCCGATTTGCATCTGACCCATCAACACCATGTCAGCTGTTACCACCAGATCTTAACAGACCCAGGGACCACCACCTCATCCCACCCCCCAAAAGCCCCACTCCTTGCCCTCTGATTACTTTGCCTACACAGACAAGAGGCAGCTGGGGCCAGGAGCCCTTACTAGGTGGTTTTTGCAGGCCCTCTCTGAGCCTCAGTGTCCCCATCTGTACAATGACTGACCAATACAGCCCATAACAGGTGGGCACTACTTTACCAGAAGAACGTGACCACTTACATGTAGATCAGGGGTGGGGAATCTTTTTTCTGCCATCATTCATGGGCCATACAAAATTATTAACTTAAAAAATAGCCTGCTATATTTGGTCAAATATTTAATCAAGTCACCCCTAATTATGACTGCTTTGTTAAGGCCAGACCAAATGATTTCGCAGACCTTATACAGCCCGTGGGCCAGATATTCTCCACCTCTGATGTAGAGGGTCATGCTTGGGAATCCAGACCTTGGAGCCAGACTGGCCACGACTCTGTTTTCTCATCTGTCAAATAGGGTTTTAAAGTACCAGCCTCCCAGAGTTGCTGTGGGGATGAGATGAATGAGCCCACATGGAGGCTACATGCATGTATATACATGTGTCCTACATGTCTCACGTGCACATATATGCCATACATGAATGCATGTATAGGTGTCATGCCTGTGTATGTGTGTGTCATATGGGCGTGCATGTATATGTGTCATATATGAATTCCCATGCCTATACATATCAATGAATGGCTGTGCTTTCTTCTGAAATTAGCTTTTTTTGGGAGGAGTTGAACGTTCTTTTTTGAAATGATGGTCAGTTAAACGTACCACCAAAATCCAAGGAATTGTCCTCAACATGCCTCACTGACCACTCTCTCTCACTGTCCACCCCCTCCAGCCCCAATCAAATCTGTCAGCTTGTCTCCTCAGCTCCATAAATCACCCCAAATTCTCACCACCTTCCCTGCCAGCTCCCTGGCCCAAGTTATCCTTTCGCTCACTTGGACAACAGTTTCCTTTTCATCCCTCCACTTATTGTCTATTCTCCACCCAGCAGCCAGAGAGGTAGGCTTTTAAGCCACAAAGTTGGATCATGTCAGGTCTCTGCTTCAAACCCCAATAGTGCCCCATGTTGTTGTTAGGGGCCATCAACTTAACTTCAACCCATAGCAAACTCAAGTATAACAAAACGATTCCCTTCCAACTGAGGGATTCATCTTCCAGCACTATACTGAGCAAGGTTTTGTTGTGGTCCATACGACTTTCAATGGTGAATTTTCAGAAGCAGACCGCCAGGTAGGTTTTTCTTCCTAGCCTGTCTTCATCTGGAAGGTCCACTGAAATCTATCCACCATGGGTGACCCTGGTACTATTTGAAATACCAGTGGTGTAGTTTCTAGCCTCATAGTAACATGCATACCACAGTACAACAAACAGACAGACCCTTCCATGGCCCTGAGGTGTTGCAAGATTTGGTTCCCTCTCAACTTCTGAGAACTCTTCCCCATCCTCCACCCTCAGCTCATGACACTCCGGCTGTACGGGGACTCTTCCCAAGCTTCCTCTCACCTCTGGGTCTTTGCACCTGCTATTCCCTCTGCCCAGAATCCTGGCATGGTGGGTGATTGTGATCAGGGACCCACCCTGATCAGTCTGACTCATGAAGCCCCCTACACTGTTGCCCAACTGCTGATCTCTCCCATCACACTGACCACTGTCTGAGAGGACCGTCTTTCTCTGTGGGCTTATTGTCTGTTTCCTCCACTAGAGTGTCGGCTCTGAGTTTCAGGGCTTCATCTGCCGTATTCCCTGTTGCGTTCCCAGAGCCAGGAATAGTGTCTGGCATTGCTGAAGAGCATCCAGTTATATAGCTTTCAATAAACATTTATAAGGTCTGATCATCTGTTAAAGTGTGGGTTGGTCTCCAAACATTTGATCTCTGCCTATCCCAAAGGAGTCCTAGTGTGACACTGTAGGATAAGCACTTGACTACTAACTACAAGGTCAGTGGTTCAAACCCACAAGCTGCTCCTCAGAAACCCTATACAGAGTCTGTGAGTCAGAACCGAGTTGACAGCATTTAACAACAACAACATCCCAAAGTCCTGGTGTGGCACTATACGAGAAAGCACCAGACCTCGAGGCTGATTTAACCATAAGGCTGGTAGTTCAAATCCACCAGCCACTCCACAGGTCGACTTGATGGCACTTAACGACAACCCAAAGTCTGGAAGCCACAGGACAAGGAGGGTCTTTGAAGATTTGTTCTGCTATACCCTCCCTGAGTGACCGCTGAGGCCCAACCCCTTTTGGGGACTATGGCTGCTCAGGTGAACACTTGGAGTCCCAGATGTGCCGTGTCTTAAGCCTTTGCCTTAAGTGCTTCCCTATCTCCCAAATGCTCTAGGTTCACCTGGCCTCCCTTCACAGCTGACACAGGCCCAGATGTTGGGCTCCACCCAGGAGGGAGAGTAGGGGATCCCAGGCTCACCTGAACAGGAAGCTGTAGGAAAAATCAAGGAGCCCCATCTTGTGCCAGCCATCTCCCGCCTCCGTGACATCTCCCAGCAAGACAGTGCGGAGGTTGGTAGACATGGCTTCCGTCAGCGCCTGGAGGTCCCTGTGGAGGAGAGTCCTGGGGCAGGAAACAGGTGTGAGAGTTTGCCCCCAAAGGAAAATGCATGCATATAATAACTTCAGGGTCCCCAGAGCTCAAGGTCTTTGTTAGTGATGGGAACCTCTGAAAGACTGGCTTATATTAGAGGATATTATAATTATCATCATCAACAACAATGATACAAACACACACACAAACAACAAAACCCCTGCCATGGAGTCAATGCTGACTCATAGCCACCAATAGGACCAAGTAGAACTATTCCATAAAGTTCCTGAGACGACATCTTTACAGGAGTAGGCAGCCTCATCGTTTCCCCACGGAGTAGCTGGTGGGTTTGAACCACCGATCTTGTGGCTAGCAACCCAACACTTAACCCACTACACCACCAGGGCGCCTTAAAACAATGATAAACCAAAACCAAATTCACTGCCATCAAATCAATTGTGACTCATCGCGATCCTGTTTTGGGTTTCTGAGGCTGTAAATCTTTGCAGGAGTAGGAAGCCTCATCTTTCTCCCATGGAGCAGCCGGTGGGCTTGAACGGCGGGGCTTGTGGTTAGCAGTCTAGTGCTTACCTTACAGAGCCACCATAGTCATCATTTATTGTGCTAAACACAGTCATCTAATTTTTGTCTTCTGGTAACCCTAGGAATAGTAGTTACTATTATGACACCCGTTTACAGTTGAAGAGACTCAGGAACAGAGAGGAAAGAAACTTGCCCGAGGTCACACAGCTGGGATTGAATCACTGCTCTACCCCATTCCAGCATCTGAACACTTAACCATGGCAGTCCCAGGCATATAAAGAACTCACAGCCTTCTGGAAGAGACAGAACTAAGAAACCAACCCTTTCTCCCTGAGATTTAAACTTAGAGAGACATGCTTAGATGGTTAAGATATCCTCTGACCAATGACTGCTAATACGACCTGACCCCAAGTAATCTCAATATGAGGAAAAAGGGAATCTGGTCCGGTGATCTTGTGTCATCATGGGTGCATAAATCTGAGGAGCAAACCAGTTCTGGGAGGTTCTGAAAAGCTAAAGACTGTAGTTGTTGTTGTTAAATGCCCTCGAGTCGGTTCCACCCTGTACAGGGTTTCCGAGGCTGTAAATCTGTACGGGAGCAGAAAGTCTCATCTTTCTCCCGCGGAGTGGCTGGTAGTTTCGAACTGCTGGCCTCAAGGTTCGCAGCCCGATTCCTAACCACTATGCAGCCTCACTAATACAGGTAAACACTGAGAGCCACGACCGTGCATGTGAGTAGAAACCAAGAACAGTGGGACCTTGTATGTGTAAGGTCCCTAGGTTCCCTGTTGAATAATGAAGACCGAAAGGGGTATTTCTGGAGTAAGAGAAAACGTGCAGAGCCAATGTTCAACAGCGACACCTTGTGGACGTAACAAAAACTGTGCTAGTATATAGAACAGGAGGTTCCCCGGCTGTTTGGACAGGATAGATAGATCTCTTTAGATGGAGTAAGGTTCTTGGTTAATCCTTGAGGGGAAAGCCTCTAGAGGGAGTCCCTGAGGTCCTGAGTAAGAAAGGCAGTTTGATGTTCAAGATGGAAAAATTAATGTCAGGACTCACGTGCTATCATGCAAATGAAGAGCTGAGCACCGCACCTGGCACATTGTAAGTGCTGAATAAATGGGAGCTGGCCCAGTGACTGAGCCAGATCCCACCCCAAGCACTAGTCCTCAAAGCAGACAGTGGTCCTCAGCAAACGAGGGAGCCGTGCCAGCTCATGAGAAACGCCCAGAAACTCTTGGATCAGACACTGGAGGAAACTAATTCTCTCTGGGTAGATGGCGGCAGTATGCAGTAAACTGTGGATTGTTGTCAATGAAAGCCCATGGGTACCCCTGGAATCATAGGATCCAGGACACTTGGACTCAGAAATACTAGTAGCTATCCCACAAGGTCAGGTCAAAACTAAGCATTGTCTCCCCATAATGTTGGCCTTTTCTCAATGTTAGCTATCCTGCAAAAGTGGTTCTTCCTGGAGACAGATCACCACAGATGCCCATCACTGTGTGAGAAGCTCTTTAGGGGCAGACACAGGGTCTGATCTGCCTTATTTGGTACCTCAGTTTGAGAAGACTGAACTGAGGCATCAGCAGACTTGGATTCAAATCCAGGCTCTACCACTTACTGGTAGTGAACATTGGATGAGTCACTTCCCTTCTCTGAGCCTCTGTTTTCCTCGTGAGCACAATAAAGATGAAAAATACCTACCCCTTGGGGCCGATGTGCAGATACAAAGGTGTACCTATAAAATATGAGGCACGTGGCTGTTTTCTTCAAATGGTGGGGACATCATTCCACACCGCCTAGGTCTAGAACAGTGACAGGTACATAGTAGATCCTCAGAAGTTTGCTGAGGAAATGTGCTGTTGTTGATCTAATGATTCCTTATGTTTCAGGAGCTGCATGACTGTCTAGCTCAGTGATCTAGAGCAATTCAGTTCTCTGCTCTGAACGCCAGGATCTTCTTCTATAAAATGGAGCTATAAGTTACTGATTCTCCAGCATCATTGTGAAGATGGATGCATGATACACGGCACAGAGGATGAAATCAAAAGTATCAATCACCAATATCTTCTCATTTTACAACCGAGGAAACAGATGGGGGAAGTGACTTGTTCACATTCACAAAGCAAGAAAGTGCAGACCTGGGCTTTGAATCTAGGTCTGGCTGACCTGAACCCAGACCTCCTACTCCAGTCTGGCTGCCTCCTAAAAGAGATAGAATGGAAGGTAAATACATTTTCCTCAATCCAATTCTTTTGAGTTGTTTTGTTGTGCTTTGTTTTTCTCATCTGTCTCCTGTCTCAAGCAAAACAAATTATCCTTAGTAAACACCTGCTTTGGAGCCAAGTACAATGCACACAGGACTTGGTTACCCAGACAGAAGCAGGTTGCCCACCGACACATGCCATTGTCAGCCACTTACGGTTTCATCCTAGCCTTTTCATCACTGGGGTTGTAATGCGGAAGCTGCACATCAAAAATCCTCTCCATGAGGAAGACGGCATAGGCGTGGAAGTCCAGCTTGCTGCGAGGCTCCCATACCACTGTGTCATAGGAGTGTGGGTCTAGGAGTACAGTGACATACCTGCCCCCCACCAGCACCTGTGGGAAGTCAGCAGAGCAGGAGTGAGGTCGATTACTATGAACATGAGCTGTTCAACAATGAACAACGTCCCCCCATGACAACCCTGAGAGCTGAAAAAGTGGAGCTTAGAGAAGGAATGCAGCATTGCCAAGACCATACAGTTGCAGTGGCAGAGCTAGGATGTGAATTAAGGGCTATTTTGAACCAAAAGCTGTGCTCTTAACCATCCCACTCTAAAGCGCCTTTCATGATGAACTTGATAGTTGTCATGTCTCTAGCAGTTAGAAAAATCTGTCTGGAGATGACAGCAGATGACTATTATGTTCATCACAGATGGATGACTGGATGGATGGAGTTGGGTTAATGTTAATGGGTGGTGGTTAGATTTGTATATGGACATTGGTGGATAGAAGAAGAAATGGATGAGTTGAAGGATGGATGGATGCATGGATGACGTTGGATAAATGCTAGTGGAGGGACTGTACATGGGTGGATAGATAAATATATGAATAAATGAATGGATGGACGAATGCTGTTGAGTAAATGCTAGTGGATAGATTGATAGATGCGTGGATAAATGACAGCTAGATCAGTCAGTGGGTGATGCTGTATGAAGATATGATAGTTGGGTCTCTGGAGGTTAGCTGGACAATATATTTACGAATAAATGTTGTGTACAACGATGGTAAGATACTAAGTGGATATTGGGTAAACAGATTGAATAATGGATGTTCCATGGATGAATGGCGTAGGAAGGATAGATGGAAACTGAATAGATGGGTAGCAGTTGCTAGAATGGATGCTGGAATGCTGTGTGGACAGACAGAGGTATTGCTGTTGTTGTTAGGTGCCATTGAGTCGGTTCCAACACATAGTGTCCTGAAGCATAACAGGATGAAATGCTCCCTGGTCTTATACCAGCCTCATAATTGTTATGTTTGAGTCATTGTTGCTGCCACTGTGTCACTCCTCCTCATTGTGGGCCTTCTTCTTTTTTTCTGAGCTTCCAATTTTCCAAGGATGGCATCCTTCTCCAGGAACTGGTCCCTCTTGACAACATATCCAAAGTACAAGAAATCAAGTCTCGCTATCCTGGCTTCTAAGGAACATTCTGGCTATACTTCTTCAAGACAGATAGGTTTGTTTTTCTGACAGATGATGGTACTTTCTAGAATCCTGCTGTGACAGTGTAGGATCAGCACCGGACTGCTGATCATAGGTCGGCAGTTCAAATCCATCAGCCACTCCTTGGAAACCCTATTCACGATCGCTATGAGTCTGAACTGACTCAACGGCACTTAATCTTCTTAACAACATGGTACTTTCATGGAGCCCTGGTGGTATGGTGGATTATGCATTGGGCTGCTAACTCAGCAGTTGTAATTCACCAGCTGCATTGTGGGAGAAAAATGAGGCTTTCTGCTTCCATAGATTTACAGCCTTAGAAACACTGAGTAACATTTACAGCCTTGGAAAGGGGTAACTATGAGTTGGAACAGACTCAAGGACACACAGCCACCAACAGTATTTTCAATATTCTTCACCAATACTGTAATTCCAGTGCATCAATTTTTCCACAGTCTTCCTTATTCACTGTCCAACTTTCACATGCATATGAGGCTATTGAAAATACCATGGCTTGGGTCAAGTGCACCTTAGACCTCAAGCTGACATCTTTGCCTTTTAACACTTTAAAGAGGTCTTTTTACAGCAGATTTGCCTAATGCAATATGTCATTTGGTTTCTTGACTGCTGCTTCGATGAGCAATGACCGTGGATCCAAGTAAAATGAAGACTTTGACAACCTCGAATTTTCTCTGTTTATCATGATGTGATTTATTAGTTCAGTTAAGAAGATTTTTGTTTTCTTGACGTTGAGGTGCAGCCCATACTGAAGGCTGTAAACTTTGATCTTCTTCAGTAAGAATCTCAAGTCCTCTTCGGTTCCAACAAGCATGGTTGCATCTCTGCATATGGCAGGTTGTTAATGAGTCTTTTCCAATCCTGATGCCACATTCTTCTCCATATAATCCAGTTTTCTGGATTATTTGCTCAGCCTAGAGACTGAATAAGTATGGTGAAGGAATGTAACCCTGGCACACATCTTTCCTGGTAAACCATTCAGTGTCCCCTTTTTCTGTTCTAATGGCTGCCTCTCGGTCTATGTACAGGTTTCTCATGAGCACAATTAAGTGTTCTTGAATACTCATTCTTCACCATGCCTCCCAGCGTCTGTTATGATCCACACAGTCGAATGCCTTTGCAGAGACAATAAAGCACAAGTAAACATCTTTCTGGAATTCTCTCCTTTCAACCAAGATCCACGTGACGTCAGCAATGATATCCTTAGTTCCATGTCCTCTTCTGAATCGGGCTTGAATTTCTCTCGGATCCCTGTCAATGTGCTGCTGCAACCATTTTTGAATTATCTTCAGAAAATTTTACTTGCCTGTGATATTAATTATATTATTTAATGAGTTCCAAATTCAGTTATGTCACCTTTTATTAAAATAGGCACAACTATGGATCTCTTCCAGTCAGTTGGTCTTAAAAATTTATTGGCATAGATAAATGAATGCATCCATCCAGTGCTGCGTCAGGTTTTGAAACATTGAAACTGGTATTCTGTCCATTCGTGGGCCTTGATTTCTACCAGTGCCTTCAGTGCAATTTGAACTTCTTCCATCAATACCTTTGATTCTTTATCATATGGTATTTCTTAAAGTGATTGAACACTGATCAATTCTTTTTGGTATAGTGACTCTGTGTATTCCTTCCATCTTCTTTTGATGCTTTCTGTATCATTCAACATTTTTCCTATTGTTGTTTAGTGCTGTTGACTCAGTTCTGACTCATAGCGACCCTGTATAGGGTTTCTGAGGAGCAACTGGTGAACTTGAACATCCGACCTCATGGTTAGCAGTCCAGTGTTTATCCTACAATGCCACAAAAGGACTCCATTTTGCCCTTCAATACTACAACCTGAGGCTTGAATTTTTTCTTTAGGTTTTTCAGCTTCAAAAATGTTGAATGTGTTTTTTTCCCTTTAGGTTTTCTAATGCTAGGACTTTGTACTTTGTCTCCTCGAGCTGTCCTTTGAAATTTTCTGTTCCATGCTTTTACTTCATCATTTCTTCCAGTTGCTTTAGCTTCTCTACATTCAAGAGCAAAAATTTCATCCATTTTGGTCTTTTCCTTCTTTCTTGTCTTCTTAATGACTTTTTACTTACTTCGTGTATGATATTCTTGGTATCATCCCACAACTCTTCTGGTCTTCAGTCATTAGTGTTTAATGCATTAAATGTATCTTAAGATGGTCTCTAAATTCAGGTGGGATATACTCCAGGTCATATTTTGGCTCCCAAGGACTTGTTTTAATTTCCTTCAGTTTTTGCCTTAACTTGCATATGAGTAACTGTTTCACAGTTGGCTCCTGGCCTTATTTTGACTGATGATATTGAACTTCTCCATCATCTCTTTCTACATATGTAGTCAATTTGATTACTGTAATCCCATCTGGTGATGTCCATATTTATAGTCATCATTTATGTTTTTGTTAAACAAAAGATCTTGCAATAAAGAAGTCATTGGTCTTGCAAAAGTTTATCATGCAATCTCCAGCATCGTTTCTGTCACCAAGGCCATATGTTTCACCTACTCTTTCTTCTTTGTTTCCAACTTTTGCATTCCAATCACTAGTAATGATCAATGCATCTTTATTGCCTGTTTGATCAATTACAGACTGAAGAAGTTGGTAGAATTCTTCAATTTTATTATAATTGGCATTAAATTTGAATAATTTAATGGGATTAACAGGTCTCTGTATATTTTATTTTTTGTTTTTTTTACTTTTTACTGGAGTGAATACACAATTCACTGGAGAGACAAAATGCTTATCATAGATGGTTAGGGTCACATGGCAGTTTAAAAAAATGACATGCATGTAATTTAGCCTGTGTGGTTCAAACCCATGTTCTTCAAAGATTAACTGTATATGTTATATGCTAAACCTTTTTCAGATTTATGATTGTCAGATTTTTTCTCTCATTCTGGCCAATTTCTGTAATACTTAAAATATGGAATCTCTGCATTAGGCATAGTTGCCACTTTATAGGAACTGCATAACTTACATTAATGCTACAGGTTTACCTACTTCCCATTATTGTTTTTTTTTCTGTTGTTTCTAGGTTGCCACAATGGTTCAGCCAACATGTCCTTAAAAATGAAGTATCAGTGAATGGAGTCTTGGTGTGGCTCTGTGGGTTAATATGCTGGACTGCAAAGTCGGTTTGAACTACAAGGTCCGCAGTTCAAACTCACCGGCTGCTCCTTGGAACTCCCATACAGGGTCGCTATGGGTTGGAACTGACTCGATGGCTCTTAACAACAATAGCAAAAGTAGATGAATACATGTGGATGTGGCTGGAAAGGCTAAGGAGAAGTTGAGATACCGGGGAGATGGGTGAAGCTGATGCACAACTACTTACTACATGTCTTTGGAACATTCATGAGAGATTGAAACATTTTCTATGTGAAGACTAAGGGCCTTGTAGTAGTTAAGTCAGAACATTTCTTAAGATAAGAGATGTGAGATCACAATACTATGGAGATACATTAATTGCTAAGAGGGAACTTCACAAAGTCTTCAAATAGGAAGAGAACCATCAAGAAGTAGAAACAGGATCCCTAAACTACATTTGTTGCTGATGTAGGTCCCATTGAGTCATTTCCGACCCATAGTAACCCGATGTACAATAGAACGAAACACTGCTCAGTTCTGCACCATCTTCACAATCGCTGCCACGCTTGAGCCCATTGCTGCTGCCACTGTGCCAATCCATCTCATTGGGATTCTTCCTCTTTTTTGCTGACCTTCTACTTGACCAAGCATCTTCCAGGGACTGGTCGCTCCTGGTAATGTGTCCAAAGTATGAAAGACAAAGTCTGGCCATCTTGCCTTCTAAGGAGCACTCTGGCTATATTTTCTTCAACACAGACTTGTTTGTTCTTTTGGCCGTGCATGGTCACTTCAATATTCTCCTCCAATACCATAACTCAAACGCATCAATTCTTCTACAGTCTTCCTTATTCACTGTCCAACTTTCACATGCATATGAGGTTATTGGGCACATCAGACATAAAACAGGCAGGAAGGGGGCAGGTAAGAATTGAGGAAATGTACACATCAATTTTAGCACAGATTTTAACTACTGAAGAAGTATAAAAGTTACATACTTTACACTTTAAATAGCATTTTCATGTCTATCAAAAAAATAAGCACAATGCAATAATTTTTTTTTAATTATGCTTAATATCATAGGATTACCTAATGGATAAATGGTTAAATGCCCTATACAGCAACTGTTCTTTCTAATCACACATTTCACATTAAAGTTTGTTTGAATAGTAAAGTTTACTTGGACTCTTGGCTGAAACCTCCATAGCCAACAACTACATATGCAGCTCCTCTAAGAAACATAATAACATTTGTATTAAATCCATTTCACAATTAAAGGCCACCTTTTCTTCAGTATAATTTAATAACAAGTTTTCTTCAAAACTGTATCTCTTTTGTCTGACAATCGTCTTTGAATTTCCTGATTTCATTTTTTTAAACAATTAGTAGTTTCACAACTTGCTTGTTGTTGTTGTTATGTGCCGTGGAGTTGGTTTTGACTCATAGCAACCCTGAACAGGGTTTCTGAAGCTGTAAGTGTTTACGGGAGCAGAAACCCTCATCTTTCTCCTGCGAACGGCTGGTAGTTTCGAACTGCTGACCGTGAGGTTCGCAGCCCAATTCGTAACCAATACGCTACCAGAGCTTCTTAAGTTCTGCAATTTCAAAGCTGTTTATGTTTGTTCATTTGTTTTTTTCTTGGCAGCTTCCAATTTTTCTCTTGCTTTCACTTCATGTTCTGCAAATGCTGTTTCTTGCTTTGTTGTTGTTGTTAAGGGCTGTTGAGTCGATTCTGACTCATAGCAACCCTGTATAGGGTTTCCAAGGAGCTGCTGGTGAGTTTGAACTACCAACCTTGCAGTTCAAATGACTTTGCAGTGTGACGCATTAGCCCACAGCGCCGCATCAAAACTCCGTTTCATGCATATAGGCTCCTAATGTAAACTGATGACATGTTGGTTAATATTTTTTGTTGCATCATTGCTGTTGGGTCTTGAAATACCATTTCATTAAAAACTCCAAAACACTGCCTTCCCCCCCCAGGATGGAATTGGTGTCTAATTGAAACAATAAATGATTCAGAGTTACAGGTGTTTCATTAAGGTCAATGAAAACTATTTTGATGATTATTTGAAATTCACCCCACCCTGTTTCAGTAATTTCACAGGGAGGCCTAGTAACAATTCCTAAAGAATTGCGATCGTTTTCATGTAATTTAAACTGGATTGTCTTCATATATACAGACATAGCCTCATTTCTATGTGGTTTTACATACACGGTCCACTGACGATGGGTGTGTCTATCTTCTCTTTTCTTTCTAAAATATCGAGCAACATTACCATAAACTATTGGTTTCACAATAGCAACACCCTTTACTCTCCTACAAGAGTCAGGTTCAAATTCAGCCATTCTCTTGAACATATTGCCCCTGGCAGAAACTGCCGCCTCCGCCAGGGAAAGAGACTCGGACTGCCGTAGGGTTTCTGGTGGAGGAAGAGCAAGTCACCCGTGATCACAAACCTGAGTAACCACCAACTCCTTGAGGCAGAACAGCATTCCCCAAAGCATGTGGAAGGCCCCCAGGTCTTCTTGGGAGGCGTATGGATATTATCCTATCATAGACAGCATTGCACTTCAAGACAGATCTTGAAATATTCTTTCTGACAATGAATGTGACTGTACTCCTCTTCAGTTTGTTGTGCCCAACATAGTAAACCATATAGTTGTCTGGTTTGAGATGGCTAATACACGTCCATTTCAATTCATTAATGCCTAGGACATCAATCTTTATGCCTTCTAGTTCATTCTTGATGGCTTCCAATTTTCCTAGATTCATACTTTGGTCATTCCACATTTCAATTACTGAAGAATGTTTGCAATTGTTCCTTCTCGTTTTGAGTTGCACCCTATAAGCAAATGAACATCTTAAGCAAATGAACGTCTCCATTCATACTATAAGCAAATGAAAGTCTCCATTCACATCATTAAGGCCAACTCTACTTTGAGTGCCTTCCAAAATAAGGAGCTCATCTTCTGGCACTACATCAGACAATGTTTCACTGCTATTTGTAAGGTTTTCAGAAGTGGTTTACTTCTCCTTCTTCATCTAAAGCTCTGTTGAAACGTGTTGACCATGGGTGACCCTGCTGATATTTAAAATATTTGTGGCATAGCTTTCAGTATCACAGCAACACAAAACATCACACAGCATGACAGACGGACAAATGACTGATGGAGATACAGGTATAAATAGTTACATATTGAGTGGACATATGAATGGGTACATAGACATTGGACAATAAAAACTAGATAGGTGATTGTTGGGTGGATATGGCAAGTGGATGGATAGACTGGTAGATACATGGAGGAAAGGAAGTTGACAGGATATGACTAGATGGATGAAAGCTAGATGGATGTTGAGTACATGAATGGTCAATTGTGAGTAGAAAGATGAAGGGATGGATAATTGGTGAGTGGATGTATCGGCAGACAGTGGAAAAGTATCAGGAAAGATGGATGGATGAGTGCAATGAAATATTTGGATGCATGTTGAGGGATATTGAGCAGATACTGGGTATACAGAAGTAGGATTGATGGAGGGAAACAAGCTGTGTTGATGTTAAGTGGAATGAATGCATGGAGGTCAGTTGGATGAACGCACAAATACTGAATCAATACTGAAGACCTGCATAGCTCGATGTTGGAAAGATGTTACAGGAACAGTGACGAGATGAATATCTGATCAAAGCACTGGGTGTACAGCTAGATAGGAAGATGGATAAACTGTTGGATGAACCACTAGATGGATGTTGGATGGGTAGGAAGTGTATGGATAGATGTTCAGGAAATCACTGTGCACCATGAAATGACAGGCCCAGCTGCTCATCCCCTTTCCTCCCAAGAAGCACACGAGGCACTTACCGTAAAGATGTCACCATGCTTCTCCTTCATCCTAGTTAGGAAGCTGGCAGCATCTTTTCCAAACTCCAAGGCATGGCCCAACCAAGGGATAATGCCAACGTCCAGGGGAGGTTCACCAGGTCGCCTGCAGAGACCAGAGCACTCACAGCTATTTGATATTGCAGGGAAGTTGGTAACAAGAATAGGGTAAGGGGGTATGGTTTTAAATGGGGTCATAGGTACACACTAGCTGAGCCCAGAGGATGCAAAGTCTGTGCGTGTGACAATCAAAACCAGAATCATCTGTGAGAGCAGAGAAAGTCCTCTGGGAATATAGTACCAATATTTAGAACCCACTGTGCTGGCAGAATTCAAAGACAATCCACAATAACTCACATCCTTCTCTAATCCCTTCCTGGGAGCGGGAGTATCCTCAGTGGGACTGACCTAAATGATGGGGTTTAAAAGGGCCAGGGCTCTTCCTTTTGTCTGTCAGACAAGATTCAAAGCATGGAAGGGCTTCCAAATAGGGGAAATGCTCTGTTGCTAACTTTGAACATGGAGGGGCCACATGGCAAAGAATATGGGCAGAGTCTAGGCGATGAGAGCAGACCTCAGCTGATAGCAAGCAAGTAAACAGGGACCCTATCAAGATTCTTCCCAGAGCGTACTGATAGAAAGGCAACCTGGCCAACATCTTGATTTCAGCCTCATGAAACTGAACAGCCACCACTCGCTTGTCAATTTGTTGTACTATGGTGGCTGTGATACTTGAAGCTATATCACCAGTATTTAAAATACCCGCAGGGTCACCCATGGGAGACAGGTTTCAGCAGAGGTTTCAGACTAAGACAGACTAGTAAGGAAAGGCAGACAGCTTCTAAATGTTTACCCACTGAAAACCTTATGAATCGTAGCAGAACATTGTCAGCTATTGTACCTGATGATGAAAACATTATGAATAGCAATCAAACATCATCAGATATAGTGCCGAATGGAAGGAACGCAAAACACGACAAACAAAGAGCTGCATCCTCAACATAGAATTGACTGTGATGATGAGAATGGAGTAAAGCTTTCAGGACCTTCATTTGCTGACGGGGCACAACTCAAAATGAGGTGAAACAGCTGTAAACATCTATTAATAATCAGACTATGGAATGTACAAAGTAGGATGCTAGGAAAATTGGAAGTTGTCAAAAATGAAGTAGAACCATAAAGATCAATATCCTGGGCATTAGTGAATGGAAATGAACTGGTATTGGCCATTTTGAATCTGACAATCTATAGTTTATTATGCCAGGGACAGCAAATTAAAGGGAAATGGCATGGTATTCATTGTTAAAAACATATTTCAAAATCTATCTTGAAGTACAATACTGTCTGTGATGAGCTAATATCCAGATGCCTACAAGGAAGACCAGTTAATGCCACTATCATTCAAATTTACCCACCAACCACTAAAGCCAGTGATGATGAAATCTACCAACTTCTTCAGTCAGAATTTGATCAACATGGAATCAAGCTGTATTGATAATTTTTGGTGATTTGAATGTGAAGGTTGGAAACAAAGGGAAAGGATCAGTAGTTGGAAACTATGGTCTTGGTGATAGAAATGATGCTGGAGATCACAAGATACAATTTTGCAAGGCCAATAACATATTCATTGCAAATAACCCTTCTAAAATAATATAAAAGGTGGCTGCACACATGGAACTCACCAGATGGACTATGTAGGAATCAAATTGACCACATCTGTGTGAAGAGATGGTGGAAAAGCTCCATATTATCAGTCCAAACAAGGCCAGGGGCAGACCATAAAAGGATCATATGCAAATTTAAGGTGAAGCTTGAAAATTAAAACAAGTTCATGCGAGCCGAACTATGTCTATGATGTCAGACATAGCCCACCTAAGTTTTGAGATCATCTCAAGAACAGATTTGATGCATTAGATACTTAAGACAGAAGACCAGAAAGAAGAGTTATGGGATGACATCAAGAATATCACACAGGAAGAAAATAAAATGCTATTAAAAATAAAGGAAAGACCAAAATGGATGTTCAGAAGAGACAATTAAGTTTGCTTTTGACCGTAGAGAAGCTAAAGCAACTAGAAGAAATGAAGAAGCAAAAGAGCTGAATATAAATTTCAAAGGGCAGCTCAAGAAGACAAGATCAAGTATTATTATGAAATGTGCCAAGATCTGGAGTTAGAGAACCTAAAGGAAACAACACATTTAGCATTTTCTCAAGCTGAAAGAACCGAAGAAAACAAATTAAAGGGAAATGGCATGGTATTCATTGTTAAAAACATATTTTTAACAATGTGTTAAATTGACTTGAAATATTGTGGCATTATGGGTTAATGTGCTGGACTGCAAAGTTAGTTTGAATCACAAGGTCAGTGGTTCAAGTTCACCAGCTGCTCCTTGGAAACCCTATATAGGGTTGCTATGAGTCGGAACCAACTCTACTTAACAACAACAGCATATTGGCGTGGTAAGTCAGGATAAGTACTGGATTGCTAACCACAAGTCAGCAGTTCAAACCCATCAATAGATCTTCAGAAATCCTATTCAGGGTTGCTATTTGTCAGAATGGATTCAACAACACTTGACAACAACAACATGGGCAAAATACTGAACGATGCAGAAAGCATCAAAAATAGATCAAGAGTCATTGTACCAAAAAAAAACAAAAAACAAAAAACGGTCAACTTCCAGCACATGACACAGACCCTCTATAACAAAGATACAGGAGACAAAATAAAATATAACAGATGAAAATTGTAGCACCCTGAACGTCAGAAGAAAGGTTAGAGAGGTGGATTGAGGGCTTGCTGGGAGGAGAGGCTGAGCAGGGACAGTGAGAGCAGGAGACTGATGGGAGAACGTCGGATCAGATGCGGCTCCACCATCTTGTGAGCAGTTTTGTCAGAGAAGGGAAGCCTGGCAAAGCAGATTAGCATGGGTGACAGAAAGGTATGATTTCTTCTTTTTCCCCACATTCCCCTGATGACCAGAGGTGTGACCAGCTCCCATCCTCACCCACCCCAGCACAGACCCTGCTTTCTGGGAGTCAGAGCTACGTGGTTGGGAGCCACTCTAGTGTGAGTTGGGAGCCATTTTGGTGCTTGAATTCAGGTGGGCTTGGCACCAGCCCTACACAACTCACAAAGCCATCAGTCCAGCACTGAACCAGTCACCCTGCCTCCACGGTGCTCCTGACAGACACTGAAACCAGCTCCATCAAGGGCCCCCAGCAACTGCTTCTGGATTGAGTGCCCTGGACATAGGCATCACTGAGGCCAATAGGAACTCCACCTAGGGCCAGGAACTCTGCTATCACATCCCTTCCACAACCACTTTGTGACTTCCTTGAATTGCAGGAGCTAGCCAGAGATTTCTCCTTTCCAGGTCCAACAACTGCACTGTTTGTTTCTACAAATATGACAACCCCAAAATCCCCTGAAGATAACAGACAATTTTAGCTCCTATAAAGAAAACAAGAGAGAATGGCTCAAACAAATGACCAAATGCAGAGCCAGAAAATGTTTCTGAAGAAGAATAGGTAATGGAAAACAATTCAAAAGAATGCTAATTAGGTACCTTCAAAGGATTGATAGAAAGATCTAGGAGAATACAATAAAAACTTTAGAACAATTCAGTAAAACACTACAACAACAACAACAACAAAAACCCAGATGAAATAAATGCAAATTTTGAAACGGTACAAACCCAGCAATTAGAAATCCAGAAGATTACAACTAAGATCTCAGAAATGGACAATACATTGAAAGGACAAAGGAGTAGAGGCGAAGCAATAGAAGCCTGAATTAGTGAGCTTGAAAATAAAATCTTTCAATACTAGCATGCTAGAAAAACAATCAGAAAAAAAGAATAAAAAAATCAGAAGAAAACCTAAGAATTATGTGGGACAACACTAAGAGAAACAACTTATGGGTTATCAAAAGTCAAGAACAGAAAAAGACAAGCACAGAGAAAACTGTCCAAGAGTTGTTGGAAGAAAACCTCCTAACATCATGAAAGACAAGAAGATAAGCATACAAGAAGCTGAACGAACCCCAAACAGGATAGATCCCCAAAGAAAATCACCAAGGCATATCATAATCAAACTTTCTAAAATCAGAGACAAGGCAAGAATCCTGAGAGCAGCCCAGGAAAAAGGAAAAGATACCTGCAAAAGAGAATCCATAAGACAAAGCTCTGCTTTCTCAGCAGAAACCGTGAAGGTATGAAGGCAATGGAATGACATATGCAAAACTCTGAAAGAAAGAGATTGCCAACCAAAAATCATATATCCAGCAAAGCTGTCCGTCAAATATGCTGGCAAAATTAGGATATTTCCTGATAAACAGAAATTAAAGGAATTTGTAATGACTTTACAGAAAGGGTCTCTTTGGACTGAGAACCAACAACAGCAGACAACAACCTGAGATTACATACATGACAACATCACCCAGAACTCAATCCACATATAGGACTATGTAAAGTAAATCAAACCTTTAAGACTGAAAACAAGGAACCAGAGATATTAATGTATAATGAAGTTAACTACAAGGTAGAAAGAGGGAATAGTGTAGATATAGAACTACCAGATAACAAGGGAGTTGGGTACATTTCAAGATAAAACAGACTGTTTTAAGCAGAAGGAAAAAAAAAAGATAAATTACAGTGCAACCACAAAGAAAAATAATACACCGGCACATCAAAATTAAAAAAGAGGAAAATCAGAACAATTTAGTAAACATTAACACAATAGAATGAAAATGAAAAGAAAATCCACAAACAAAATGAACTCAGCACAGATGATTGATTATATGGAACAAACAATCCAGCGGCACCACAGCAAAACAAAACACAGAAAAAAGACTACAATCAATTTATACCTATTGATAATTACACTTAATGCCAATGGATTAAATGTACTAGTCAAGAGACCTAAGAATGGGTAAGAAAACAGGATCCTTCAACATGCTGTAGACAAGAGACATACCAAAAAGATGGAAACAGCTTAAATGCCCATCAACAGAAGAATGGTTAAACAAATTTTGGTACATACACACAATGGAATACTACAAAAGGTTGAAGAATAAGGATGAATCTGTGAAACACCTCACAACA